TAGGATGCCTGCTCTGGCCAACAAGCTCACCTTTGCATCATGTTGCAGACGTTGGGTTCCACTCAGTTCCAGACGCTGTCGCCCCCACCACCCCTCGCGTCCCTCGCGTATGCCGGTCACCTGTGGAGCCCCTCACACGCACTCCGAACCGAGCGGTGTCTCGTCACCAGGTGCGCGGCTCCCGAGCACGGGCGCGCCCCACACGACATCGGCTGATAGTGGACAGATAGTGGTCACGGTGGTCAGTCGGCCGCCGCTGACCGGCCCTCCTCCCCGCCGGGTACACATCGACACCCTGCACCGCGCGGCGGTGACCGACAGCCGGCTGACGAGCGGTGTTGCAAAACAGATCGGTTGCGAGATGATAAGATAAGATGATTGAGCGTGGTCAACGCCCTTATGACTTAAATGGCGAAGGCGAAGGTTAGATGAGAGATCATTGCAAACACTGTGGTCGTTGCGCGGGTCACAATAACATCTACCCACACGGACAGGATATATCAGGTAGATGACTGCAGTATGTTTACCACATGCAAATAGCTAGACACACACACCACAGCCGTCCTGCTCAGCGAATTCCCTGGCGTATAACGTGACAAACGGCAAGGTTCAGTGATCATTAGGACATTTTCCGTCTGGCACAAATGTTCGAAAGTTGCGGAACGCAAATACTGAGCCACAGTGTTTATGGAAGTGCTAACAGTTGCCAGACTTTCACATGTCAAGGAAGCGACTTCTGTCTCCTACATTCGTAACATTATTTTCTTACCCAGTTGATTATGTGGAAAACAAATTATGCACTTGTTGGTGAGCAAGAAGGCCATCACAGCATTAGTTTTCCTCAAATAATTTCCAATTATATTTGAAAGGACCTCTGACCCCATCACATGTCAAATCAGTCAAGGGACGGAATCTAACATAGCCTATTGTAGCCTTCGCCAGAGGTTACATCCCTGACGAAGATGCTTGTGTAGATACTAGATAGTGTTAAAAATTCCTTTCACGCATAAGAGTATCTTGGCGGTAGATCTCGAGTTCTCAAGAGGCTGATTATCCTGGGTACAGGAGGGCATTTTATAAACCACGTCATGCCACATTTCTCGGAACCGTTGATTTTGATCGATCTGATTGCGAGTTGCCTCTGGCAGGATCCATATTGGGGGTCAACCATTCTCAACACGGGTCAATCATTCTCAGCACGGGTCAATCATTCTCAGCACGGGTCAATCATTCTCAACATGAGGTCTAACTGCTACTGCCGGTCTTCCTCAATAAGGCAGCTATGCAAAATGTTTTTTTCTTCTTCAAAGTTTTCCATTTTCCCGTAAATGAAGATGTGTAAATAAATGCAAAAAGTTCATATTTACGAAGAGCTGAAGCCTTGTAGAGAACTTCTTATAGCCATTTTAAAAGATTCAGTGATCAGGCATAAATGACCTCCAGATGCTAAAAACAGGCCAGTGGCGCAGCCAGGATTTCATTTCGGGGGGGTCATCGCCTCCAAAGCGGGCCCCCTAGTGTGCGGGCCCCCCACCCATTTTTCAGAATCTCTCCATATTTTATACACACTCTGCTGGGCGGGCCCCCTTTATCTGCACGATAACCCTTGAGCGAGTTTGAATCGGAAAGTTTTGATAGAACAAAAGCTCGGTAATCACCCGGTGTGTCATCAATGGGTTAATTTCCACGCAAATTGACCACGACAGAAATATAGGTAGGTACTGTTACTATGAAGTATGAATTTGTATCTTTCGAGGCCAAAATGTACGCCTTCCTTAATATGCATAGCATATATGCAAACGGAGCTGTTACCTGCTTCTGTCGGACAATATATGATATAGATATATGTACTTTTTAGTCCCATGTGCCTGTCATAAAGTCATCTATTGGCTGCTGTAGTACCTAGATGGTGTCATTATTCTTCTTCATTACGTGAATTCGCTCACAAGAAATTTTAACGCGCTCATATGGGACATTTATTGCCTTTGGCCGGGTTTGTTGTGGTGTGGTAATGTGGTGATGTAGATTCTGTCTGTTACCGAGGTTCCGGCATGGTGTTACTCCATGGTGTTACTTAGCGCAGGGTGCAGGCCTGCAGACTGTTGCACCTAGCGCGCTGAAATTTGCGCAACTTATAGAACAAGGATTGACAACGTGCCTTCTAGGGGTCTCAGTTCGATCGGGACGATAGTGAGCACATGGCGCGTGCCCAAAAAGTGCAAAGTCGCGTCATATGCTTTACGTGTATAAGTCGGCTTGCAAAATCGGGCGAAAATGGTTAAATTTGCCCGACACGGGTCCGGTCCCCGTGCAATATCTCGGTAACCGTGGATCCGATCGGCACGGGGGGAAGTGGGAACACAGTACCTATCGTGTAGTGAATCGAACGGGCTGCGGAATGATGTGCGATGCAGGGAATGGCACGCGCCACGTGCACCTGTGAGGCACTTTTGCCTAAAAATTGACGTTTCAGACGGATTTTGGATCTTATACCATTTTCGGGTGACTGTCAGACGGGGCGAACTCAAACAACACCTATAGGCAAGAGAAATGTACCGCCTCTCATGAAAAAAATGTGAAAAGCTAATTGATCAAAAACAAGGTGGAACAAAGGCTGCAGAACATAGTATTTGTCCATGATGTGCCACTTGCTTAATTGCATGGGTTTTGCTGCATAACCTGATACGAAAATGGCATCGTTGGAAAGAGCATTAAATTTTGTCCAAGATCTAATCATCGCTTTTGCAAGACGAGCAACAGCATTTAAAAAGATAAATGTTTCAAACCTCTACATGGCAATTCATCGCTAGCTTTCATTTTTCAATAACCTACGTCAACCTTTGTTATAAAATACACTTGACATGTTCTATTGTAGAACGCACGCTTATCTGACACGGGCACCTTGATGCGATGGATATTTTTCCCAAACCAAAATGTTTAACCGTCAAAAAGCAATCGACCGAAATGGATACATAGCTCACGGAGACAAGACCAACCAAACGCCTACCGATAAAAAATACCCCTTATCCGCGTTGCGGAGCAAGCGGGTCACCCTAGCGGCCCAATCCACCCGGGGGCCTGGGACCCATCCACACGGGCCCGGGCCCCGTCCACCTGAGGGCCCGGGTCCCGTTCTCCCAGGGGTCCGGGCCCCGTTCTCCCGGGGGCCCGGGCTCCGTCCACCTGGGGCTCCGGGGCCCATCCACCAGGGGCCCGGGCCCCGTTCTCCCGGGGCCGGCGGGTCCAATCCACCCGGGGGCCCGGGCCCCGGGGCTCCATCCACTCGGGGCCCGGGCCCGTTCTCCCGGGCCCGGGTCAACCCACCGGGGCCCGGGCTCAATCCACCCGGGGGCCCGGGCTCCGTCTACCCGGGGCCCGGGCCCCGTTCTCCCGAAGGCCCGGGCCCCATTCTCCCGGGGGCCGGGCTCCATCCACCCGGGGCTTGGGCCCGTTCCCCCGGGGGCCCGGGCTCCATCCACCCGGGGGCCCGGGACCCATCTACCCGTGGGCTCGGGCCCCATCTACCCGGGGGCCCGGGCCCCGTTCTCCCGGGGGGCTGGGCTCCATCCACCCGGGGCTTGGGCCCGTTCCCCCGGGGGCCCGGGCCCATCCACGGGGGGCCCGGGCTCCATCCATCCGGGGGCCCGGGCCCCAACTTCCCGGGGCCCGGGCCCCCGTCCACCTGAGGGCCAGGGTCCCGTTCTCCCAGGGGTCCGGGCCCCGTTCTCCCGGGCTCCGTCCACCCGGGGCCCGGGCCCCGTTCTCCCAGGGACCCGGGCCCCGTTCTCCCGGGGCTCGGGTCCAATCCAACCGGGGGCCCGGGCCCGGGCCCATCCACCGGGGGCCCGGGCTCAATCCACTCGGGGGCCCGGGCTCCGTCCAACCGGGGCCCGGGCCCTGTTCTCCCGGGGAGTCGGGCTCCATCCACCCGGGGCCCGGGCCCGGGCCCATCCACCGGGGGCCCGGGCTCAATCCACCCGGGGCCCGGGCCCCATCTGCCCGGGAGCCCGGACCCCATCTACCCGGGGTCCGGGCCCCATCTACCCGGAGCCCGGGCCCCTTGCACCTGGGGCCCATGGACCATCACCCGTGGTGTCCCAGTAGGCATTTCTCGAAGCGGGCTCGTCCGATTAGATTAGGACCTCTCTCCTCCCTCCCTCCCTCTCTCTCTCTCTCTCTCTCTCTCTCTCTCTCTCTCTCTCTCTCTCTCTCTCTCTCTCTCTCTCTCTCTCTCTCTCTCTCTCTCTCTCTCTCTCTCTCTCTCTCTTTCGCTATCCCAGAGCGGGCCCCTGACAGAAATTTCGGGGGGGTCAGCTGACCCTCTGACCCCCCCCCTGGCTGCGCCACTGAAACAGGCTCACAGCAATATGTAGTTTGAATCTAACTCTTTATCTATCTCTTTATCTTATTCATTGAAAATATTTGTGTTGTCCTGGATCTGCACTGCAAACTTTTCGCAAGGTATATCCATGCCCCGTCCATCCCCGGCGACTCTGCCTCCCCGGGCCGCGGCTTCAGCACTGCGGCGCACCGACCGGCCTCGGCGGGCCGTGATCCAGTTCGACAGTGGGCCATAAGTTGGGTCCCGCCCAGATTGGAGACGATATTTTGCACGTCGCATGTTCATAGAATGATTCGGACGCAGCTGGCGGGGCGTAACTCAGCGGCCGGGCAGCCACCGAGGAGCCGCCGCGCTGGAAATAGCCGCCAGGCGAGGGAGGAGCGAGACCGGCAGCGGTTCTGATGGGGTACAATGGCATTGGGGTGGGATGGGAATGGACACTTATAGAGGAATGAGCAAATGGTTTTCCGTTGACCATCCGCACGATAACGAATTAAAGTAAATAATACGCAATCGTTATAAAGCCGCTGGGTTACCGACATAGTGATGCGCTTGTCGCTGTCATTGCTCACTCTTTCGACAACAGCGACATTTTTTTCGACAGACGATGGTTTTGTGACCTTGTGTATTTCATTAAACAAAAAAAAAAAAAAAAACAGAGAAAATCATCGTTGAATTACTGAGGTCCGTTTCACACGAAGGAGATAAGTATCGAACAACGTAAACTAATATAAAAAAACCACGGAGACATTTCTTCCCTGATTCATAGAAAAGGACAAGACATAAACAAACCCTTGAATCAACTGACAGCAGGCTCAGCTGTTCTAGTTAGCAGCTGTGTCTTTTGAAGATATTTTAGTGACTTTCTTATTACGCAACCAGTAGAAAAAGTGCTTAAAACGTTGAGCAAATAGAAGCGGACCGCAAAATCACCTCATAAAACCAAGCCATCAATGTGCCCAATTACCACTGGAAACAACTGACCGTCAACAACGCAAAGCCGAGCCACGAGTCAACAAAACAAAGTCGTGTAGCGTTCAAACAGTACGACACGCAGCATCAAATCACACGAACATTCATCACACAATTTCACCTCATCACATTTCGTTTCAATTTCAAACCACAGTTTCGTTCCCGAGATTCGGCACTATACCAGTTGGCTGGACAGGAGTCCATCTTTGATATACGTTCAAAAAATCACACTCCCTGAGGCTAAGCTGACTGACCTCAGTGATGCTTTGATCACACCCCACGACCAAAGGGGTCAGCTGGGTCAAAACTGGCGGCGCCGGCCTGATCACATTGTTCCCTTGAAGTGTGACGACGGAAGCTAGACTGAGCTGACTGAGAGGCGACTAGCCGTACGAGTTGGCCTTGTGCTTGGGAAGGAACTCGAATGAATCGGGCACCTTGCCCAGCAGCATCTCGCTGAAACAAGAGAGAAAATAAATTGACAGGCAAGAAGCATACCAACACTTATATATAAAAGTAAAAAGTAAAAAGCATCGTGGCAAGGGGAACGTTGGGACATCCAACGCCACTCAAACGCCGATTTAAAAAGTTCTCGTAGGAAGGTTTATATCAATTGTAACAATATTCCTATTGCAACTACCTTATCGAAGGTATACGATGAACTTCTACAAAAACAAGTGACATACTGTTGTCAACCTAGAAAGCACATGCTCTCTGTCTTTTATCAATTCTAGATGCCTCAATCGAACACAATTCCAAAATACCAAAAATGTATTCTGTCTTAACTACCCTTCATGCGATCGGTCTTCATCCCTGCCAAAGATCGGGCAATATCGTCCAGGAACTAATCAGCTCCCAACCAGATACAATTTATCCTCATCCAGCCGCGGTGGTCGGGTAGTAAAAGCGATGGCAGCAAGTCCCACAAACAGTCTTCACCTGAGGGTGAACAATCTCCACACCCCTACCCCAACTGATCCGTGACTACACTGTTCTTACTGTAAGCACACTGTAACCACACCCTGCTCACCTGATGGTGACCCAGTCGCGGCAGTTGCCGCTCGCCATCAGCGTCTCCAGGTCGTCCCGGCCGCGGAAGGCCGGCGGACGCTCGTTGATGCGCTGCGGGGGTCGCTCCAGCAGGCCCGCCGGGATGTACCGGTACAGGAACGACAGCCACTCCAGCAGGAAGCGACGCGTCTTCTCCACACCCTAGCGGGAGGTCAGGGGGTTAGACGCTGGGAAGTCTGTGAGACCCACTGCGGCACACAGCAGCTGAACCGACAACGCTGAGCGCCAGGCATGGTGGATTGGTCGTAGCACTGAACGATGTCTTATCGAAGCAGGGCGTGGCGATAATAGAGGACATATTTTAAAACATCAAGACCTCGATCAGCGTTTACTGTTCACCGCTTATCTTAGTGTATAGAGCTGACGATTTTGAGGGAGCACCGAGTAGCGACATCTGGGATGGGACTGTTTGGCACAGAAGCTGCAGCAGGTGGCGACACTGGCAGGGCATACGAGTAGGGAGACACATATGCCTGCTCATACGTTCACAGACGGTGCTAGGCGCAGGAGACTGAGGAGATCGGCAGAGGCAAATAGGTTCTCCGCTCGACGTTCTATCATTTAGCTGACTACCAGACACTTTCCCAAGTTGGCTCCAGTCGCAGTCGGAGTCGGTCGGAGTCGGCAGTTTTGCCCGGAATCGGAGTTGGAGTCGCTAAGGTCTTAACGACTCCGACTTCGGAGTCATAGTTATCACCGCATGGCTCAGTCACGCCCTACACCTGGTTGCTCGACGATTTTTCGCTCGTTGACCTGTTAAAATCAGGCCTTGTTGAAGCTAAGGACATGCCCCTGTTTTGGACCAGTGTTTTTATTGAAAAAAGCTGAAGAAGGCTGCCGCGTCAAAACCCGTGTTTATTTCTGCATGCTATTTAAAAAGTACTTATTTGCAATACAAGGTCTTGGAGCGCGCAAAAGTTCGTTTCAGGCAAGATAAAAAAATATCCGACATAAAATTTGATTTCATTATATGGACTTAATGAGCAACGCCCGGAGTCGGAGCTGGAGCTGGAGCTGGAGTCGGAGTCGGAGTCGGAGTCACCTTAAAATCTATCGAATCCGCAGCCCTGATCAAAACAATCTTCGTTATATTCAAAACCCTCCTTTTCATTTATGGCATATATCGGATACGAAAAGTAAAAAAAAAAAAAAAAATAGGGCGTTGGTTCACATTTGGCACCTTATTGACATTGCGTGTTGAGATTATCATGAATTAGATATCACAGCAATGTAAAAAAGAGCAATAGGCAATTGAGATCTTTTATTTCAAACTCAGGCTTGTGAGGAACAACACAAGCTCAAAATAAAAAAGTAAAAAGAACGTCCTCAAATGTTCTCGTCGAAGACGACCATGTATGACGTCAGCAGACGGCGGTCCGAGCTGGTATGACGTCAGCCGACGTCAGCAGGCGCTGGCGTGACGTCATCTGACATCAGCCGGCTGACGGAGCGGCGTCTCTCCGTCACAGTCGGTCCGTTTAACGGGCGCGGCTCGGGCGACTCCGGAACCCGTACCAAGCGGCGGCCACCCAGCGCTCGACCGACACCGGATTTTCGGCTGTTAATTTTACAGCAATTTTACGGCCGGCCTTGAGCCAGCCACTTTGGCATTAGACGTAAAAACGTCGCAAATCACGTCATTGACATACGGAGCCAAATCAGCCGAGCTCGGCCCAACTAGCATCCTATACATACACAACGACGGCAGTGTGCGACAGTGCGACCCAGGCCGGGCGGCGGGCGCGAAACGGCACGCCCCGGCCCGCCGCGCTCGCATCACTTAACCCCGAGGTCGTGCGTGGCCGGTACTTGGCTCGCTTGGCCCGCGGCCACGCCGCGTTCAGCGGATATAAATCCTCGGCCGGTGTCGGCGCTGAATACGACACACCCCTGGAATTCGGGAGGGAGCGGACACGTTACCGGGGATCAGGACACTGCGACTCCCCGGGATGACACGACGCGTGACATCCGCGCTGGAAACGGATAAAAATGCAGATTTAATGTACAGACAAGGCAAGATAAACGACCGGCAAAAAGGGTGACGGGCTCCATCAACTTTGAATTTTGACCTCGAACCTGGAATATTTTGCCGCGTCGCAAGAATGCCAATATGAATCCTCAAAAAGTTGAATTTGGGGATTCGAACAAACGCGGGAAGTGGAAATTGTTGTGCGGTCTTGTCCGCTACCATACGATCTATTGTTTTAACATTATTGCCCTTTGCCACACGATCTGAAAATTCGGGGCCGACAGTGGAATTGCGAGTCTGCCTGTAGCTCGGTGGCATTCTATACAGAGATATAGGCGCGGCGATTTATGGCCTGGCCGCGGGCGAGGAAGTCGACACCGTTGAACACCACTCAATTGGCCCGGAGGCCAGCTCGATATCACTTGACCTTGAACCCCCACTGCACATTGGTCATATACTTGGACCAAAAAGAAGCTCACAAAGACAAACTCCTAGACTGAGCAGAATTACCCTCAGACTATTGGTACCCCAAGAAAACTTCAAAGCCTTAACTGGGCACCTATTAACTATGTCTGTTTTGATGTCAAAATCATCAGGATCCCAGTACTAGCCTCATGACTTAAGCCTCACCAGCGCAGTGGTCGGCGACAACCGTACGCCGCCAGGATGGGGGCAAGTTAAGTGTCCTTTTTCCATGCTCAACAGTCGGGTCTCATGAGCGGGACTCGGAGTTCGAAAGACACCGAAAATTATTTCGCAATTATTTCGAAACAATTTTCCTTACCAACATAAGACAAAATCTAATCACAAAAAGTCATGCAAATTTCCCACATTTTTCTTTAAGGTGACTTTTCACTAACCTCCGTGTCGCTGCCCCAGTGCTCCAGCCCGTAGTTGGTGTACTCCTTGAGCAGATCTAACCGCTCCGAAGACCTGAAAATGGCGTCAACGTCAGACCACAAACAGTGCTAGCTCGTATCACACACAGTCATCCCACGATAACAAAAAGCATACCAGAAAAGAAAAGATCTAAAAACTAGTTTCTTACTGAAATAGAGTAGCCTATAGAGCAAATTAAAAATATCAGTGTAAGTTCATATTCCCGCGTCTCAATGCCCATCAGTCAAACAATTTTCCCTGGCTGTCATCCGCACTGCCCCAACCAGCGAAACTTCCCAAGACTGCCTACACTGCGCGGCTTCCTATCCGAACAATGTTCCAGCGCCCGGGCGGCGCGGCCATTCACCTCAGATGTCCGAGACTTTCAACATTGCGCAGCCCGCCACCTCACCTGATGTCCCAGGTGCGACGCTCCTTGATCTCCGTGAAGAGCCACGGTTTGATGAGTGCACCGCGTGCCACCATGATGCCAGCCACGCCCGAGGCGGCCTTCTTGGCCTCATACTCCTCCCAGGAGAGGACGTCCCCGTTACCGTACAGAGGGAGGGGGTGGGCAGCTCGCGAACACTCGGCCACATACTGCCAGTCGGCCAGCTTTGTGTAGCGCTGCTCCCGAGACCGGCCGTGCAGCTGTGTGGCGGAGAGGAGAGCAGGCGGTCAGGCACGTCAGGGACATAGCCGATATTCGATAGTTACGGAGCGAGGACAGGGGCGACAGGCAGGTCAGGAACATAGGCGACAGTGTAAACTGTAACAGGGCACAGGTGACAGGCACGTCAAAAATATCGGCGACAGGGGATTGCGCTCCGTGGAACTGTCGTGGAGCGCAAGTCAATTTTACGCATGGCACATGTCTCGAAATGCTGACAAAGGTAAAAAACATTCAAAATTTTGGTTCAATAAATCCCCACATGCCATCATATCCAGCTTATGGTCTCCAAACATCTCCAAGAACGTCGAGATTTATCTAGAAGGATTATAACAAAGACCATTTTCACGTTTGAGGGTCAGTGTCACAAACATGAAATATCACCTTCCATCAATATAGCATACGGGCGAGATAGCACACCATATGCATCGCTTCACATGAAACCCAACAAACAAATCACCTCTGAGAAAAGCTGAGCTCGAGTCGGACGGTTCCCACCGACCACCGTCGCTGTCTCTGTCTCTGTCTCCGTCTCCGACGCCCACAGGCGGCTGCCAATGCTGCATATCCGGCGCCGCTCCGGCCAGATAGTTTGCATACAAAGTGTCCGGTAAGATGCCATACCGCATTCAAACAATTGCCACCGCTCCGTTTATGTAACGAGGATCGGCCCGCGCCGGCCAATGAGCGCCAAGGACTCCGCTCGCAGCGGCCTGCTCTGCTCGCTCCAAACACGGCCGACCTCCGTTTGACACACACGATCGACTATTATACGCGTCCCGTTCAAGGGCGACATACGGTGGCTGGTGGCTGGTGATGCATTTCAAGCAAATGATGCATTTCAAGCAGACAAGGCTCTTCTTAGTTCTTGACCCTGCAACCGATCTGCAATGAACAGGCAATCTGCTCAAGTTGCGAAGCGCGGAGGACAGTACCAGTTCTGTGGTTCAATATTTAACTGGCCGGCTGCTCTGCCCGAGCCACTGCCACCGGGCCGGGCGGGCGGGCGTTCGGCGGCCGCTGCCGTCTCAGCCAGTTCCCACTCGCTCAGATATATAGCCGACATCCATTCGAGCGTGACGTCACGGGCGCGTCTCTCGTTATCGAGCGGAGCCAATCGTCGCCCGGTGGCGGCCACTCACCACCGGCGGCACCGCCGGACCGATATACATCACCGGAGAGCGGCCGACAGTCGGCAGACACCGGCAGACGGGGCGGCGCGGCTCACTCCCGCGCCGCACCGATTGCCGCTGTCCGACGCGATTTGTGGAATGCTGTTCGGTAATGAATGGGACAGCGGCGTATCGCCATGAGCGGCAGAGGCGGCGTGACGGCCCGAGTGACCCAGTTCGGGTTGCGAGAGGGAGGAAAACGTCAAACACACACCACGCCACAACTCCACATGCAACACTCTCTGCCCGGCGCCACTGCCTGTCCGGGGTTGAACCCATTAGCGTTCACCGGCCGCCCTGACCCCACTGAGTACGATGCCCCTGTGTCTGACCAGCGGGCTGTATCGACGGCACGTGCGGGCGGCGCGTTCATTGGCCTGTTGCAGCTCTCCCCGGCCCGTCCGGCCGGCCAGACGACCACGACAATCCGTCACCGTAACAGCTCCACTGCCGCTGGTAAACGGACCAAGACCGGCCGCGGCCACCTATTACGATAAATCTGGATCAGAAAGACATTCGGCGATCGACTGGTGAATAGCGCGGCCAGTGGGAGTGGGATTCGGCCAATTCTCGGAAACAGGAGCCGAATGTGGGTGGAACGCCGGCGGAAACTCATCAAACGGCGGGGCGGCTGCGGTGAAATTAAAAAGGATCGACTGTGTAGAAGACGAATTACAGTATGCGGTATCATTTACCGGACATAAGTTATAGTCCCCATCGAAAAAGAAAACCGATAATAAAATCGGCAACAAATAAACTGGTGATAAAATAGAAGAACATGACTAGTTAAAAAAGCAAATCCCAAAATATAAGCCTTCGTCGGATAGGATAAAGGCTTGAATCAGGCAAATTTAGTCAAAATATCGAAATGAGCGAATAGCTAACCGCAAAGAAATGAAATGTTAATACTTTTTCACGGCAATTCTCTGACAGCCTATGAACTGGTTGATTTGTTGGTTGTTTGTTGTCTGCTGGCTTTTAACGTAGTTTATAACCTTTTGCGTATGCATTAGATTCAGCGAAGACCATAAACTGGAAATATGAGCAAAATCAACAAAGGAGACAAACAACAGGCAAGGTAGTTTCGAAACGCAAAATAGAAATTCAGGAGAGCTACAGCACAGGCCGATGTCCGTAACACCTAACACCATGCCGGGTGACCCGGGACGCCGGCATGAATAGACATTAGACAAGAAGTCCATCGTTGATTTCGTGGGTCAATCCTAAATCCTTAACCGTGCAGTCAATCACGCTGGTTAAATGACTGGGCAACGAAAAATATTACTTGGTCATGGTCATAATCAGCGTTTCTATTCCTCAATGCCTTATTAATGCTTTTAAGACAATCGATGACAGCTGTATGAGCACCAATTAAATTGTAAAAAGAGGCGTGCATTAACTTTTTGTGTCCATTTATTCAATAATACAATATTGGGTATATACTGGGCGATTTGCTAATGTCACGTGGCATGTGAGTTTAATAAATGAGTTAGCAATTCATCAAAAACGTCTCCCGTGTGTTCCTGACCCTGAACTGTGCTAGCAGCATCTCCCCTTTCCACCGCGCCAGACAGCCCGGAGACCACAAAAGCGTCGGAGCCGTTTTCTGGGCGGCCATCCGCCGTGGGCGTCCCTGGCGGCCTGGCGCTGAGGGCCACTGGCCAGTCTGCAGCGGCGCTGATCGGCTGTCGGCCAGTGGCCACGTATGCCGGCGGCCAGCCTCCCCCGCCGGCGGCGACAATCGATCCGACCATCACGTCCAAGTGGCCCCGTCCCGGTCCGTTTTTGTGGTCCGGCCAGGCGTCGGCCGGGCCGCAGATGAAAACGGAGTGAGAAGCCGCCCCAGAAAAAAGCCCGGCTGCTGCGAGCGGACGTGGCCGGCCGCCCAACTCCGATGACAAGACGCTTTGTCGAGCAAAGTTGGCGTCTTGGGCGGCTAATCTGCCGGTGGACGGCCGAGCAGCCGGGTCAGCCGCCATTTCATCTCAGTCCAGAGACGACGGAGGCAGAATGAAACCGAACGGGACGGCCAGCGAGATGCCAGCACATCACTAAACGAAAGTAAAAAATGTAGACAAGAGTCAAGAGATTTATCAACGATGCGTGCTCAATGCCTACCATATGCAGAACACGCCGACTGTCTCTCTCGCACAGAAACACAGCCGGGACAGTGGGCGGCACCATTGCAGCTGGGCAGAACACCAGCAGCGGCCTTGGCACAGTGCGGCCCCAATAAAGGCCGAGCTGTCTGGCAAACAGCACCCGACCGAGCCAAAAACGAACAAACAACTGCAAATGCTCGAGGTCAAGCCTATCAAAGTATTAGAGAGACAAAAAAGGGTCGATCGGCGACAGGCTTTAATCAGGTGGGCTGATGGCGACAGAGCTCGTCGCTCTATCTCCGAGATAATCGGATGAAATCGGAGACCGACCGACCGATGGAAGGGTTGTTAACCGATCAGACACGGCGGCTGGCTTCGGCACCAAGAATGGTCCATCACGGTCAGCCAGGCGGCAAGTCCAACGTCTTCGTTTTCAGCAAGTCCATCGTCTTCACTGAAAGACGACAGATTCGGCGGGTTCAGATAGCTACTGAAAACCAAACCAACCCTCGTTTCAGAAGACCGTCGCTTCGGGTAAGACAGACGTAGTGGATTAGGCAACTGTCTCCTGGCTCAGAAGCAGAGTTCAAAAATGGCAGCGGCAAGCTGCCCCATGCTTGCTATGTAGGTAGTCATCGGGCACCTAGTGAGAGGAAACCCAAGACTAAGGAAAACCGAAGCGTCATCTACTGCGAGAAACTAAGAAAACAAAACGCCATCGATCCTGCTAGGTTCGATTTTACATAAAACGCCGACGGACCCGTAGCAGCCTGTGTTCGTTGTTTCTGATGATCACCCGGTTCCTCAGTCTGCAGCTACATCTAAGCGTTGCCCAACAATCAACATTGATCCCTAGCTGGGACGAATCCTGCGTACAGATGGATGCATATCATTGCATTTCGCTCCCCTTCCTACTTACATACCACTGGTGAGTCCATCCCAGCTCCGTCTCCAGCTCTCTGTCTCGCTCCCCATCCCGGGTCACCACGTCTCACCCCTACCCTCCGGCTCGGACCGCTGCGAGCGCCGCCGGTCACCAGGGCGGGTCTCTCTGACCGATCTCTTCCGCAGCGGAACGGCCAGCCGACTCCGGACGGCCACATTGGCCGGCCGCCGGCCACCGGCCACCGGACGTCGGACGTCGCCAGCGAGCCGACTGTGGTCCCGTGCCCACTGCCCAGGCAGGGATAGCAACTCTACACGTTGGATGACTGCATGAGTCACTTCTCACTTGTGACGTGAAGTTCAGTCAGCCGGCAGAATGAAGGTAGTTTAGTCTGTTTAGTTTCAATGACATGGCGAGCCTCCTGCCTGTCGTCACTTTTACCGTCTTTGCCGCTCTGGTCACTCCTAGAGACATCGGCTCCTGCCGCCCGGTGACGTCCTGTCGCCCCTGGACATCCTCTACCACCCGGCCCCTAGTTAGTCACCCCTAGAAGCTCCCTGCCGCCCTGGTCACCCTCTGGTCACCCTGGCGGCCCCTGGCGCCCGGTCGCGCGCACGGCATTGATTGGGCGCCGCGCGCGGCCGCCGTCTCGGGCCGGCAGAGCTGGGGCGGCGGCCGCTGCTCTCGTCGACGGCGACGGCCGGCTCTGCGGAGCTCCGCCGGCCGGCGAGGAGGCGGCGGCGCTGGCGAGTTACGAGCCACGCTCCAGTTGCAGTGACGAGGCGCGGCGGCCGGCCGTTGGACGGAGCGCCGCGGCGCGC